CATCCTTTGATTTGTTCATAGGAGGTGTTCATCTCTAATGTGATTCTAGAGAGGTGTTTATCTTTTTAATTAGTTTATTATTTACTGGTTCTTCTGCAAAGTTTATTGTAATTTGTAAACTAAATTTTAAATATAGTGAATTGGTTTGTCTCTCTCGTATTAGAGGTGACAGTGAACTGGATGTAAGGTTGATTTGACCCGAGCCAGTATAAATTATTGTATGCTTTTATCTTTCCCTATATCTTTTTTATTATTTTATCGCTTTCGTTTTATTTATATTCAATCTGATAATTAAAATTGAATTAACAAATTATTGGACATCTTAAATAAATTTTTAATTTGTGCATCTATTCACCCCCTCTAGATGCCATTTGTCTAACAATATTAAGCCTATCTTTTAATAGGTTAAAAAACTTCATTTCATAAAGATACATTCAAAATCATTTTCAAGAGGCTTTCTAATATCAAATAAATATTAAACACCATGAAAGAATTTATGAACCAACCCACCACACACACACTAAGTTATTCTATATCTTCAATCATTATGAAGGAGGTGGATTTATCCAATCATCATCAAATGATTGCTTTAAGAGCTTTGTGTAGTACCACTTACAACAATGCTCCTAGTACATTTCAAAGATGTATGTTAAGTATTTTTTTTTTCTCTGATTTATTTAAGCAATGTATTGATGTGTTTATGAATGATTTTTCTGTTTATGCTTCTTTTGATATTTTCCTTGATAATTTAAATAAACTATTGAAGAAATATGTTAAAAATAATCTTGTGTTAAATTATGAAGAATATCATTTTATGGTTAAACAAGATAATTTTAGGTCACATTATTTTTAAAGAAGGTATTCAAGTTAATTTTGATTAATTAAATGTTATTTCGCAATTACTTTATCCTTGTTCTACTAGAGAGGTTCATTTTGTTTCTTCGACATACACAATTTTATAGAATATTTATTCAATATTTTAGTAAGATTGTTATTCCATTATCTACCTTATTGTATAAAAAAGGTAATATTTAATTTTGATGATATATGCTAGAACTATTTTGGCTATTTAAAGAAAACATTCTACTTCTACTACTAAACCTCTTGATTGGAATTATCCTCTTTAAAATTATGTGTTATGCTTCTAATTATGCTTTAGGAGCTATCCTTAGACAAAGGATTGATAAGATTTCGTATGTAATTTATTGTGCTTCTAAAACCTTTGATTTTGCACAAATTAATTGTGCTATTGAATTGTTAGTTATTGGTTTTGCTTTAGATAGATTTAGATCTTAGGTTATGAAGTTGTTGTTTATACTAAAAAGGTTGTTCTTAAATATTCATTAAAGAAACCTATTCTAAACCTAGATTAATTAGATAAATATTTTTATTGTAAAAATTTGATGTATTTATTAAAGATAAAAGTGACATTCAAAATTTAGTTTCACATCATTTAAGTAAAATTGAAAATAATTTAGATGATTATTCTAATTATAATGTATTTCCTAATAAACATATTTATAATATTGATTCTAATTTAGATTTTAGGCCTTCATATGTAAATATTGTTAATTATATTATTTCATTTATCTATCATTTAACTATGTCAAAAGCACAGAAAGATAAATTCAGACATGATTCTAAATATATTATTTGGGATAATCCATATTTATGAAAATTTTATAGTGATAAAATTATTAGAAAATATATATGTGATAATGAAATAATTTTATTTTAAATATTTTTCATTTTTCCCCTGTCGAAGGACATTTGGGCCTCAAAAGGATTACAAAGTAGATATTTGATATAAGATTTTATTGGCCAACTATATTTAAATATTCTTGGTAATGTTGTAAATTACGTGAAGTATGCTAAAAAGCGGGAGATAATATATCACAAAGATATCTAATGCGTAAAAAATCTTTATTATTTTGTGAAATATTTTACGTGTGGGCATTATTTTTATGGCTCCTTTTCTCCTATCTTGTAAATTTAATTATATTTTATTTGCTATTAATTATGTATCTAATGGGTGGAAGTTAAAGTGATAAAACCAATAATGCTAAAGTTGTTGTAGGTTTATCAAAATTAACATATGTAGCAAGTTTGGAATTCCAAGAACAATTATTAATGATCAAGGAACTCATTTTTATAATAGATCATTTAATACTTTATTGAAAACTATGGAGTTATGCATAAAATATCTATAGCTTATCATCCATAAATAAATGGTGTGAAGTTGAAGTATCTAATAAAGGTATAAAGAAGATTTTGGAGAAAATTATCCAACCAAGTAAGAGAGATTTGAGTATTATTATGCTCTTTTGGTTCATGGAATAAGTTACAAAACAAATACCTTTATGAATGTCTTCTTTTAGGATTGTTTTGGTAAGATTTTTCATCTTCTAGTTGAAATAGAGCATAAAGTTTATTGAGTTGTTAAAGCATATAATTTATCTTTTGATGAAACAAGTAATAATAGATTATTGTAATTACAAGGAGGAATTCATATTGTAATCTTTTGAAAATTTTAAAATTCATAAAGAAAGAAGACAAATATTTTATGATAAAAATATTTTGAAAAAGAAATTTATTGTTGGACAAAGGTTTTATTATATAAATCTATAATAAAGTTAATCTTTTATAAATTAAGATCGAAATGGAGTGGTTGACATATTGTTATTGTTGTCTTCTCATGTGGAACAATTGAAATTATAATGCAAACTATAGATAAATCTTTTAAAGTTAATGGTCATGGATTAAAGCATTTTCATAAAATTTCTATTCTTTATAATATTATTGGTTATTACCCTATGTTTCTTAATTTTATCTTAGTTTTACTTTTTTATATGTAGAGAACAATGGAAAATTCAAATGTGAAGTTATAGGGGTGACTGTTATGTATTATTTTTAAATTGTTTTTAGAATATATTGATTTATTGAAAAAATAGAAAAAAAATATTGATTTTCGTAACAACACATAAATGCGGTCAACGAAAAAGAAAAAAAATCAAGAGAAATATAAAAAGAAAGAAAAAGAAAAAGAAAAGAAAAGGAAAAGAAATAGAGAATAAAATATATTCAATAAAGTATTCTTATTTTTATTTAAAAGTACATTCCTCAATTATTCTCTTTAATTCTTAGTTCTTTTTTAGTTTTGATTTTTGTGTTTATACCAATACCACCTTAACCTCATTACAACATATTTAAAATAATTTTTGATATTTAATTTGCATATGCTACAATTTATTTAATTAAAAATTTGTCTGATTAATTTTATTTTTGAGATGTAATTTAAGGGAAACACTTATCTTAAACACTTAAGTGATTAAGTGAATAATTTTATGTAAGTGAAGATTTTTAATATTAATTATGTTATGATATATACTTCATCAATTGTTATCTTTTTGAAATAATCAATAAAATACTTGGTTTCACATTATGATTTGTGAAATCTTTATAATTGAATTATTGATTTATTACTAACATATATTTTCATATTTATTTTTCTAATTTCTATTTTGTTTGGAAGTGCAAAAGTTTAAGTGTACCATTATGTCATAAATATTTTTTTTACAAAAAATTTATTGTTATATTTAATATACAATTATATCATTTAATTATTAAATTATTTAATATTAACATATTTTTAGTAAAATATAATTAAACAGTTTCAAATTATTAATTAAATTATACACTTTTTAATTGAATATTTATATATTGATGCACAAATGATAAATTAAAGAAGAAAAAGTTTTGATATAAGAATTTTCCTCAACGAAACTATTATCTCCTTGCGAATATCTTATAAAGAGTTCATTTTTATTTTGTCAATATGTTTAATGAAGACTAATTTTATTTAGCGAAAGTGTTGAATTTGATTCAACCAACTTAACTAACTATCTTAATCAACAAAATAGAATCCGCTCAATACAATATTATAGACCATTGACAAATAAATTTCTAACTTCTATAATTTATTGATTATGGGCCTTCCATAATGTTTGTTATTATATATATAAACATAAGTTATCTTTATTTTTAAAATTTTTAGATTTAGATTTCATAATTGTCTTTAGTTTCTCTAATTTTCTCTTAAGTTCATAAAATAGCATTTTCAAATTCTTCTTCCTCTTCAAGTTTTATACAAATTCTTCCTTTTAAGTTTCTCAATTTAAAATATATTAGATCATATTATTCTTCTCTTTTTTATCATTTTTATTTAATTATCGCACATGACATTTCTTTTACTATATTTCTATAGTTTTGATGAATTTTTAAGTTTTTTAGTATTGATTTTTCGATTCTATTCTTATTTTTTATTCTTCAACATTCAAACGGTTTGTAATAATTATAATGAACGTAATTAATTATTAAATATTTTAAATAATTAAAAAATAGGCAACATTAATTACAACTTCTATTTAAATCAACTTTTTTAACCTTCACCTAAATTAAAGAAATATTTTTATTTAAAAACAACATATCCACTTAAACAAATTTTGTTTCAATTTTAAAATTTAATTTCTCAATTTTAACATATAAAAATCTAAAATTACCTAAATTTAACTATATATTAATTAAAATTTGTAATTTAATTTATTTAACACTATTAATATGTTTTTCATTTATAACTTATAAAATAAATAATAATTAAAATATTAAATAATTATATTAAAAAAATTAAACAACTTGAATGCTTGTTTCTAAAAACTTTTAAAAAACAATGAAAATTTTGAAGACGTACACAGCAACACCATTTCATTGAAAAAAAAATAATGAAGTTATTTTTAAATTCACAATTTTTTTATTACAAAATCGTATTTGAAAGCTATGGACACGCCCGTTTTATTAAATTTCCCCCATTTCAATAAATAACGCACAAAAATTATGCAACATTTTTTTTATGCATAAACCCGCTCACTCACCCCTAACATATTAATAGTTTTAATCTTTTGATTTCTCTGTGCTGAGCGGTGAAGCGAGGGTAGCCACTGCAAATGGGTGCGGCGGAGGCCAACACAGCCCTTCAAGCTCCCCCCGAAACGACGTCGGAGAGTGTCGAAGCCTTGCTCGATGTAACAATTAAAATTAAATTAAATTCATATGCATATTTTATTATTAAGTGTGATTGATTATTATGTTGAATGTTGATGATGTTTTCACAGGCTGCAAGATATGATGGCATGGACGATGTTAAGAGCTTAGAGGCCAGTGGGGTTCCTCTTGATTCCAAGGATGATCAGGGGAGAACAGGTATGCATGAAAGTTGTGTGGAATTAATTGACTCTGAAATAGTTTTTCATTTTTTTCATTTTATTTGACTTTTTATTTTGTGAGGTTTGGTAGTTTTTGTTGAGGGTGATTGAGGGTAGAGGTTGTTAGGATTCAAGGTTTAGTTTGTTGTGTAATGAGGATTTTTTTGTTAGGTTCAATTTTAATCTTAATGGAACTAGAGGGTTATGTTGTTGTGTGAATTGGGATGGTATAGTGAGGGAGGAACGAAGGGGAGCTTTTGAAGTGAAAAAGGAAACTAAATCTTTGCACATTAGATAAATGTGTGGTCAGGCATTGGGAGAGCATCACAAAGAATCAAGGTTGGATCTAAGTTTGCGTTAGTACTTAGGGGAAATCCAGTATCATGTGATGAGGTTTAGGGGTGAAGGGTGTGGCGCTGTGGTGGGAGTGACGGAAAGTGGGGGATTTGACAAATTCTAGGAGGGCTATTTTTGAAACTATTTCGTCTATTTTGAAGGTGAGAAGTTTTTGGCTGTCAGTGAGGGAAAGCTGGTTGGAGGTGAGTTTTGCAATGGCCTCTACGTTGTGGTCCATATTGGTTTTGGAGTGCAAGTTATCAGGCATGGCAGCTCAATGTAGGCATCAACTATCAGGGATAAAGAAAATAGCAGGAACAATTTCTGGAGTTTGAGGACTAGGGACCTCTTAAGAAAAGAGTGAGGAAAAAATAATACTGTTTTTCTTAATTTTCCTTTGGTTTACATCTGCATATATAGAAGTTTTGGAACTGAAATAACAATTCAAATGACAGTAACAGAATGCAAAAGCCAAAGTGCAATCTAGCACCTAAATTCCTTAGCCAAAGTGCAGGGCACTCTTCATAACAGAATTAGTTACGTCTAAACCTTTTACTCGACGTAGTCTCTCAAATTTGGGGGAATAATCTTCCTCTTAGGCCTCTCATTACCCATGACCATTTGTGGATCCAAAGACCCATTATCAGCCCATGTCCTATCAGTCATGCTTCTGTGCCACAAGATTTTGAATAGCTGATGTGGTTTGAACTTCATTGCGACCATTGATATTGCAAAAAGTTGTGGCTGGAGTAGTCACAATAGTTGTGGTGTGGTCGCAAATACTCCAAAATTTTTTATGTTGCTGCTGCAACTGCAGTTGTAAACCAATTTTTAAAACTTACTCGCAATATTTTGAGTTTTAGGAACCAGGAACTGAAAAGAGAAAGAAAAGAAAGTTTTTTATTGAATAGAAGGAAAAGAATAAGAAATAGGAGATTACTCCCTCCTCCAAAGGTTCCCCTTGACAAAGGATTCCTCCTTTCACAAAGAGCGCTCAATTTACAAAATGAGGAACCCTTCTCCTATCCTTCTTACCCTGTTTATGTCTAAATAACAACTCAAGCAACTAACTAACTCATTAATATGTTAATTATCTAAACTAACTTCCCTTTCACCTTATACCCTAACACACAGTGCACTTGTTTCCTTGAATGAAAATATGGGGCGGGGAATTAAACTTCCAATTCCGAGTAACCATGCTCTTCATATTCTTCATATTCCTGATAATCTAAGAAAGTATAAAGCCCGGCAGTTTTCTTTTCATTTGTTTTATGTGTACGGAATCAAGAATAACAACAAGAGAATCCAATTCATGCCAAATATTTCGGTCTCCCAAGCTCCTGGCTAATTTCAAACATAACCAATCTCACCAAATCTCATCATTATGATTGATATATGTTGGTTTGAAGTAAGTACCACTGTCCTTGATTAATATACTACACTTTGGTATGAACTTTTGAAGTAGTAGTAGATGCACCATTCTCCTAGTCTCATCTGGTATGGTGGATTTTGGGTACAACTTTGGATTACTTGCTAGAAATGTATACTTTTAGTTAAATACTTAAATTCAATTTTAAATAAAACTGAGTAGATTATAGTATTATGTATGAGTGGTTACATTGATATGTTAAAAAGATGTGGGTAGATTTTGGTTAGTGTTTGATTTTAAAGCTTGTCGGGATGGTGAGATCATGAGATGTAGGGGTTTGTGAAGAAAGATCCCATCTCATAAGGTCATACTGATTGAATAAGCTGACTTTCATACGAAAAAAGGGCATTCACAACTGCAGCCAGTGATAATAAATTTTTCAAGGAGAAGATAATTTTCTCGGATGACCAATTCTGAAATAATTTAGTTATGAGACATCGTTCTTCTCCATATATGTTTGACATTACTCCTCTGATGTATGCATCCAGCTCTTCATATGGCTGCAGCTAATGGACACAAGGATATTGTGAATTATCTAATCAGTAAAGGAGTGGTGAGTAGCTTTTTCTCAAATATTCTCATTTGATTTTCTAACTTTGTGGTCTGAGTGAGCCATTGGTTGATTACTACAATAACAGTAGACACTTTCTGTCTGATAACAAATCATTTCATTGACCATTTACCAACTTTTTTCTCGAGTAATTCCGTTCTCTTACTTTATATTTGATGAAGATTCACTTCATTGACCATTACCTACCTTTCCATCACTCACCTTACTTCAAACATCCAAACATAGCATAGAGGTTGAAAAGCTTGGGCTTGTGTGAACAGGATCTTAATTCACCAAATGAGGAAAAGAATACACCTCTTCATTGGGCGTGTCTCAATGGGCATATTGAGGTAAAGAATGTGTTCTTCCAATGACATCTCTTGTTACTTTCCAGCATATATGGTTTTCTTTAATATGTAAATACCTTTCAGGTTGTGAAGAAACTAATCATGGCTGGCGCTAACGTTAGTGTTTTAAACAGGTGTGTTATATTTTACCCGAGCCTCAAGGAAATTAAGATGTGCAATGAGTGTCTTATAAAACAAAAATTAGACCTAGTTTCTTAAACGCTTTTATGCTCTTCAATTAGAACTGTAGTTTCATATCAATATTTGCTTAATAAAGATTTATATTAAAGTTTTAATATAGGTTATTAAATTAAAATTTCAATTTTCATTGTAGAACATTAAAAGCACATAAAAAATTAACAATTATAATGATGATGTACGGACAGTATGAAATAGTTTTTACACTGCCATTCAATCACACGTCACTATTGCTATGCCTTTTTGGTAATTATTGTAAAATCCACTATTTTGAAAACCTGGACCGTTGAACCGGTCTAACAGGAAATTGATTTAAATATCGATTTGGTACTTTTAAATAATCGAATTTTAATTAAATCAACACAAAATAAAAAAAATTGGTAAAATAAAAAAAATCAAATTGGATTGGTTGGTTCAACCAGTCTAATTGAATTGGTCTAGAAAATGAACTGTTGTTTCTAGATTTTAATTAAATCAGAACAAAATTGAAAAATCGGTAAAATCGGAGAAATAACCTAAGGTTTTGAATCAAACCAGTTTTTGTAAAAAATAAAAAATTAATATCAATTTTTTTAATATAATTGTTTTAATATAATTTTTTTATAAAAGATATAATATATTTTAGTTTTTTTTTTAATTTTATTAGTTACATTAATTTTAAATAATAGTTATTTTATTGTATTTTCATTTTATTTTAATAATTATCTATCTTTTACTATAATATATTTTATATTTGTAATTTTTATTGTAATTTTTGGTGATTATGATATTAATTTTTATTATTTTTCTTTTCTTTTAAAAAAATTATTACTAATGAATTTATTATATATTTGTTATTCACTACTCGTGAGAAAGACTTTTTATGTCGGTTAAAATAGACTTTCGACGTCGGTTAAAGAGGTGACATAGATACAAGGGTCATAGAAAGTAAGACTTTCTACGTCGATTATGTTGAATTGACATAGAAAGTAAGACTTTCTACGTCGGTTAGTCATAGAACCTGAAAGAATTAATGGTTGAGTTCAAGAGGGGGGTGAATTGAACTTTATAAAACTTTTTCGCAAAACTTACTTTCTTTTGGAAGAATGATTTATCTTTATTCAATTCTTGCTAAGGTAGATTGATTTTAAACACAACAAGTATATAGGCAGAAAATAAAAGAGATGAAAGAAGAAATTCAACACACAAATTTATACTGGTTCACTCTATACCAGAGTTACGTCCAGTTCTTGACAAATCTGTCAAGTTCCACTAATACCAAGTGAAATTTACAACCAGTAGATACTCACCAATCTACCCCAAGAACTATCTTACAAACCCACAAGATAGACTCTTGAAAACCACCCAGTAACCAAATCCAGTTACTGTAACAAGTGCAGATCAAATTCCAACCTGCACAAATACACTTTACAAAAGAGTATGAAAAGAAAAAACCTGGACTGCAGCTCTATCAATAAAATTGTCCAGAACAGATTCTAACACAACACTTTCTCTCTTTGATTGACCACTATCTTGATCAAAGCACCTTATGATATATCAAAGTTCTTGAATGCAGAGAAAGTCATAGATATGATAGCTTCACAGATTGATTTCAAATGTTTTCTCAAGTTGTGTTTATAAAAGATAGATCAAATCTGTATTTATAAAGTAAAACAGAGAAACAGAACGTTTCATTAATTAAAAACTGAATCAGAGAGGTAAATGATCGATCAGAAACAAAGTAAAACAGGTTAGAATCGATTCTGATCGATTAGAACTGTATTATGATCGATTAGACCAAGTTATGATCGATCAGAATGAAACTATGATCGATCAGAAAGCATTTCAATCGATTAAAACGTCGATTCAATCGATTGATTTCATTTAAAAACTTCATTTAATCGATTGATTCGAGTTTTTAATGGATTGAAACAGTTTTATGAAAAATGATAGCTCTCTGTTTCAATCGATTGAAAATCATTTCAACAGATTGAAATCTTGCAAATACTTAGTTAAAAAAAAATAGTCTCTCTGTTTTAACAGATTAAAAAATATTTCAACAGATTGATTTTCTGAAAACTCTTAGACTGAAAAATAGTCTTTCTGTTTCAATGGATTTAAAAATATTTCAACAGATTAAAAATGCGAAACTTTGATATTGAAAAATTCATTAAGTGATTTTAACAGATTGAAAATCATTTTCAACAGATTGAAAAACTTAGATTGTTCTTTTAATACTTAAATGTAAGTTTTTCATGCAGAAAAATGATTTCAATGAGATGCATCATATTAAGGCGCTTATGACAAAATATATTGGCCTATCAAGAGATTAAGTTCTATACTTAGCCTATTCATCTACACACCCACAAACTAAACTATATCTACAAAATATTATGTCTTCATCAAATCCACCAAGTGCTTCAATCTCCCCCTATTTGATGGAGACAAATAACCACTGCACCTGCACAAATAATAACAGACCAGAGACATATATTTTGTGGAGTGTGTGTAGTGACAGTTTTAAGAAAAACCACTTCTCCCCCTATTTGACTGCATCAAATAATAGTGTTTTTAGTTACAGTCCAGTAGTACCACGTAGGTACCCCAAAATAAAAACAGAACAAATAAAAACTAAGAACAAGATAACAAAAACATAAAAATAAGCCTTCATTCATCCCCGGGACCTTGATTAAATTGCAGTTCAACAATCCTGTTGTAGATGTCTTCTAGTTGGTTGTCAATATGTTGAAATCTGGCAATGAAGTTTTCATCCAGATAATGCTGACGAGCCCGCAGATCAACCGTCATCTCCATGTGCCTTCTCTGGTTGGTTTGCAGTTCGCTCACTTGATGCAACATGGTTCTTTCGAACTGAGACAGGGACATGCCACGGTCAGGCTGTGGAGTGTATGAAATCATTTCCAGTGGAGACACCTCTTCCATCGGGTCAGATGGTCTTGCTGTAGAAGTTCCCGGAACATCAGCATTGATATTTTCTTCTTGTTCTTCTTCTTCAAAGTCTTCTCCTCTCCCAGCTTCTTCTTTTGAGATCCATTCACCATCGACTTTGATGAATCCCATTTTATGCAGAACAGAATTATTTACCTCATTTGTTGGTCGAACAATTTCAACTAGTTCCCCTTCCAAATCAACACCAAAATGCATTAAAAACTTAGAAATCAAAATAGCATAAGGATACTTGAAATCACTCAGCCGCTTAGCTTTGATCATGTGGTCCTTGATAACAAAAACCCAATTCACCCTTATTCTGTGATGAATGCAGTACATCAGTACTAAATCTCCTTCATTTAGTACTGCATGATTGCTCCCCCTGGGTGTGAGCTGCCAGGCCACAATGAAAGCGAGAATCCTTTCCTCAAGCTTCATCTTTCCAGTATTGAAAGAATTTACAGAGTCATGATTGTTCTTCATGCAGGAACAAAAGTACTGAACTTTATTAAATTCTTCAACATCTGAAGTACACCCTTTAGTGACTTTTACACCTTCATCCTTGATTCCAGCGACCTCTTTCCAGACATTTGGCGTTATCTCAATGTCTACTCCTTTGACTTGGGTTTTTAAAGTGGAACCTTCAAAGAACAAGTTAGTAAAAAATACTTTAATTAAGTCAGGGTAAATTCTACCATTCAACTCCAGAAACTTTTGAAGTTTTTGATGTTGCAGTAGCTTCCGAACACCTCTGAAGCCTTCGGTGTCAAACCAGGAGAACTTTAGAACCTTGGGAATAATGACTTGTTTCCTGCTCATTTCATGGATAAACAAATCCATTTTCTCTTGGTTCCCATTGAACCAGGTTTCAATCCGACCTCCAACATTTGGTTCTTGCCTTGCAGTAGAAGACTCGCCTCTGCTGGACTTCTTCCTACTGGATTTTATACGTTTGAGCATCATTGATTTTTTGGAATGATCAGAGGGATAATCGAGAAGAGAGAATGGTTCAAGGAGGAAAAACACTACAATTTTTAGAGCTCGCGATCCCTTTAACTTCACAGTTTTGTCTTTTCTGTATAACTACTTCTCTGCTTCTGCGCAGTGATGATAAAGGTGGAGAGAGAGAGAAGGAATGTGTACTGTGCACCTTAATTACCCTCACATCTGATATCCAATCAGACTCAATCAACTTTTATTGGATATCTTTGATATTTAAGAGAGTAGTTGAAGTTAATCTTGTTGTAAATGCATTCAATCCACTCTGCAGTAATTGTTTAGTGATAGAGTATATACAACTAGCCCTAGAAAAAATTAATCAATTGATATTTCGTGAAACCAATTGATTTTGCAATTGCAGATACTCAGAAGTAAAATACATCGATTGAACCGAAAATCTAATCAATTGTTTTTGTGGAAGAAAATCATGCAGAGTATCAAAAGTGAATTCAATCGATTGAATCGAAGATTGAATCGATTGATTTATAGAAGAAAATATGCAGAGCTACAAGGTTTAATGAAATAAATCGATTAAAATCATATTTAATCGATTGAACTGATAACATATCAATAACAGAGAGTAAGAATCAGGAAATCAACAGATTATTTCGCAATTTCAATTGATTGAAACATATAATTTCAAGTTTTTCATACAATTATTAATCGATTGAACTTGTTATTAACCTCGTTAAAGAGCACATTATCACCATAAAGAATCGGTTATTCAATACTAGATATATCTAGAATTCCTAATTCGATCCTAAGCATATTAAGTCTCGTCTCTAGGAAGTGGTTTAGTGAATAAATCAGCTAACCTGTTTTTCAGATTCAATGAATAAAATTTCACAGATCACCCCTAGATACATGTTCTCTAATAAAGTGGTGTCTAATTTCAATATGCTTAGTTCTAGAGTGTTGAATAGGATTCTTAGTTAAATTTATTGCACTAGTATTATCACAAACCGGAGGTACCGTATTTAGTGTCACTCCATAGTCCGTCGGTTGTTGCTTAAGGTAGATACTTTGAGCACAATGACTCCTAGCTGCAATGTATTCGAACTTCCGCAATTAAAAGAGCAACACATGCTTGCTTT